GATTACTATAATAACAAGATTGAACTTATATCCTGTGAAATTGTTGTTATATATGTAATTAACTACACCTGAAATAATGGTTCTATAATATTTATTCGTTTTCCTTTATTCCTCCAAGCTTAAGATTAAATGGGCCGGTTTTTTTGAAATTATTTATTGATCAATTACCTAAATTATTTTTACGGTTTCAGTGTTCATAGTTTCTACTGATATTTTGGTTAGCAGTTGGGTCTCCGCGTAGAAAGTTCCTATCGTTTAGGAGTGGGTATGGATCGCCGGCGCTTACCTACGAGCACGAATGTCCGTCGGTCGTGTTTTGGGTGGAGATCACTGGCAGTCGGCGCAAAAGGAAATTCAACAAAGACTTGGCAATTATTATCGGCACATAAGGGTATGCTGTACAATGCGATTTCTTTTGTAGAAAAAAAAAACAACTCCGAATGTTCAGGAATCCGCATGGAGTTCGCTACCCGAACTGACCAACTCGAATGGCAGTAATTGTGGAGGAAGTTGTTTAGCTCAGGCATGGTCCGTTGGCTGTGTCCTTGATGCATGCCTCTACTTCACGGAACTGACAGCAGAGTCTAACTAAGTAAAGAGAGGATAGAGAGGAACATCTAAGGTGATCACTGTAAACCATGACTAACTTTGAAGCAGCGTTTATGCCAACGGCTTACTGTATTCAGATAGAATCTTGTCACTTTTGAGATGATTGTCATCTGAAGTCTTGAGCACTTACCCACATTTTCCCCTACTAGTTTATGTCCCCCACCAGCCAGCCCTTTCCCTTCCGACGGACGCAGGCGCTGCTTTCGATCTTGCCTATAAACTTGTAGATAGACATAGATATTAGGCCCACTGGAAAGTTCCACCAATTGGTGCCCTTCTTTTGAAAAAAATAATTCTCTCCAAACATATATAACTAAGATTTGTTTCATGGAAATCATTATATATTTTGAATACTTTTTTAAATTTTTTATATACTCATGACTTCAGACCAATGAGATGGATATTTAAAAATACTTTATTTAAAAAAGTCTCCCGAGGCAGAACATCATGATCAAACGACTTCTTTTAATTTGAAATACACCCTTGTTTTCAAATTTTTTGAAGAAATTCTCAGAATGCGAAACATCTGATATACGGAGGTTAATACCTCAGAAATGTACAGGGTTTTTCGACAATTTTCAGCCGTGGTCTGAACCTTTTTGGGGGACCATCACTAGATTCTTGTGGAAGTGAAGGTACCTCTTTTTAGTGGTTACAATATTCCTACATATTCTAATATATAATCCTAGTTCACAAGAATCATCCAAAAGTCAAGGTGCCAGCAAGGTCAGAACTTTCCAGTAACTAACAAAATAGTTACTGCCACAAAGCAACAACGGAAACCTAGTGAGTAGCATTAAGTTATCTGCATTTGTTAGGGTCCTTTCGCACACGAAAAACGTTGCATTTCGATTCGTTTGCCCTTTAAATAACATACGTTTCAATCCATCATTTACTTGTAATCGACTACTTACCATCTCACAGTAACCCCATGTATCGAGCTACGCCGATCACCCTTTGTACAATTGCCATTGTCACCCTTTATACCACTGCAATTGGTCCGTACGACTAGAGGATTTGCTCAAATTGTACTTTCTAACAATACAGAAGAGATTTTTTACTTTCAACATGCTAAATAGATCTTACAGATTTCTATAGAATAAAGATTTTGACTGAATAAAGCTGCTACAAGTGTCCTGAGCTCACAGTCGTATTTCGGAACTTAGAACTCCTAAACCGATGCGTCTTGCATGTTTATTAGTGATTACCGGTATGATACTGATTGGTGATTGAAGATTGGAATAGTACTACCGCTCAGAATATTGGTTGGTATTCTCTGTTCTTTTATTCACACCACATTGAAGATTTAATTACATACGAAAGCAGAAACCTCAGGAAAACTATTTATACAAAAAACTCGTCGATAATGTTAACCCATTGGCGACTAACCTTTACTAGTGTGTGGGACAGGGCGCGCTGCACGCTAGTTCTGTGGCCCGTCGGTGGGCCAAACGGTTCCGAGAGCAACCTAGTTTTCTTACGTACCTTTTTTTGAGTAAAGTCCCATCAAAATGTATTAGAAGAACGATAAGTCATCCACAAAAAGTACGTGCTAAGTTGTAACATCCACTACTTCTTTGTTGAGCTCTAGTGGAAATAGGGAGTTGCTTAACTCATCTTCGNACCTTCATGGCTTATGAGATCCCGAACTAGCAAAATATAAAACTTTGTCAAGACGCCAGGGATGAATTTCGCACTCGAACCCCTTTGATTGATTGGTCAGAGGTAAGTAGCATTGTTGTGAAAAACCTATAAGAACCTTTACTTCAAAGTGTTGTAAACAAGCATCGCTCCTTAGAAACAACCAGCTGACGGGCCATACAGTCCCAGGAGCACAACATGGTGTTATCAGCCGGCGGGCCAATGGACTATTTGATCAGATAAGGAAATATAACAGGGAAATGAAGAAGTAAAAGAGTTATTTTAAAGCATAAACATGACGTCAGAACTCAGCAAATCGGTACCCATGAAGACTGAAGGACGCAAAACTTAGTCTTCATGGATAACAACGAGAACCAAGTTATGGGAAAAACCACCAGTTTCAACTTAGAGATTACAGAGAATTCAGTTTTCTACGGGGACAAGAAAACAACCAAAGCGAACTAAAACCCAAAGAAAACCAGGACCAAGGAAGCTCATCAAGGAACCAGACCAATGAACAATTTGAAATGGTGGCAAGTGGTGGCAAAATTAAAGGAGCGAAACAATTTACTGCATTGTGTCCCGCCACGAGAACAACAGAAAACTGTTACTGCCGTAACGGACACCGTGGTCATCTATTTACACTCATGCTGGCAGTCCGTCACTGCATACAAACAGCATCTACCGTAATCCTACTTTAATTTTTACTCTATTTCGATGTTTGGTATTTTCGTAATCGTCAAGGTTGTGAGCATAATATTCGTGATAACGGTTTTGATGTCTGAGCACAATGATACAATGTAAGTAAAGCAAGTGCAATATAGGGTGTAAGGCATCTTTCTGGGAAGTGATAAGGGATAAGTATGATTGCATTGCGATTTGTATGAAAACATATCGGTTCATGATGATGGTTTCCCATGCCATTAGAAAACCCGTCATGGTTTATGGAAATTCAATCAACCATTTTATTAACACACAACTAGGGAAAGATTATGTAGAAGTTCGAAAAGGAGAAATTTATAACAAAAATAAGATAATGACCAAGAGGATCTATGTCAAGAATTGTAGTGCCGAGACTCGAAACTGCTAATATGAACCATTATAAGAATTGCCCAGCGAAGAGGCATACAACGAATGTGAGAAGACTATTTCCCAATAATAGTGGGTAGCAATGGTCGGTAGGGTTGTCCCCTTTCTTTTCTTATTCAAGTTAATTACTCGGATTATGCTCTAAGAGATGCTCCTGTTTCTAATACATAATTTGTGGATGTAATATAAGGGTCACACATCGTGCTCAAAAACAGTTCTTAGTAGAAGATTGTAGGTTTTACGAAAGCACTAGGAGCAGAGGAACACTAGGTAGCCATGATGTTCTGAGCACCTAGGTGCTCCTTCCCTTCAAAGCTCTTTTTAAGAGAAGAAACCACACTTTTCTGGTTGGGAAACCTTCCAAAGCATCATTATGGGCTTGTGAATCCGACTAATCTTTTTTTGCGCTCTTTCGTACAATGTTGGACATATTTCAACCCGGTCTGCCGTCTGTCTCGCTTCTAAAAGTAGGCGTAAACTTACGGTAGTTGCTGTCTGTACGCAAAGGCAGACTGCTACCGTGAGTAGAAATAAATAGCTCGGGTCTACGGACTACTTGAACTCGATCCCTTTAATAATGGCGACCGACATGAAGGCTTCGAGTTTGATGAAATATTTAGGAACTCATCTTAACTTTGAAGAATGTGCCTGGATTTTCCATAATGTTCTGATTCAATTTGAGAAGAATTCCTTTTTCTCCATTCTATTCGTTCCCACTTCCTCCCTCCGTTGTATTGATGTTATATCAAGATTATTTTACTTTCATGTAATCGGCATATTTTTTCGTGTGCATTGCGTTTGTTGGGAGCATTTGTTATGCTATTTCTAGAACTTTCAGACACAGATTCGCATGACGGTCATGGCCGCAAGCAGCACTAATATGTAAGCTTTGCAATACCTTTTTTGTATATCGCTTTCCATAAGATTCAACGAGATTTATTCTCTCTGCTTGTCAGTTTTTTCATTTGAAAGTTGAGTCTAAGAGATCAACGTATTACAAATTGTATGCTGGTATATTTTTTCTATTTTTAGTCTGAGTACCGCTCCAGAGGTTGGGAGTTGGGCGGAGGCTGTGGAACAAGACAGTGAGTCAGACTTGTTCGATTTCTCTTCGTGTCATTCTACGGTGCCCTGTTGCACTTTTTCAATCAAATATATGTGCTAAGCGATGTGGGGCTCAGAAGGCTCATATTGGATGGGCGTTTTGTAATCGAAATTTTCATTGAGCGTTGTTCCCTTTCTCGGAGGTTCGAAGTGTCACAAAGTTTTTCAAACACAAGGATTAAGGGGTGCGGAGTAGGATACTCATTGGTTCGGTGAATTTGGAAAAGATACATGAAAAAGCGCTCCGGATATTAAATGTAATGGTAGGCTTTGTGACATCAGGAATAGTTTTTGCGTTGGTTTTCATGGTCATTGTACCACTCGTATCTCATGGGTATTTTGAATAACTGAATCGCCTTACGCCAGTTAGTTTGTTATCCGTGCCCGAAATCTCGTAAATAAAGTAACAGCCCTCGGTGCTACGTTAAGTAAAGTACATGTAGAAATGTTGGCTAATCATTTTACTCCTCTGGCTTTTAAAGTAGGTGCTGAGATTTTCTCGGTTTTTCATTATCGATTAAATCAATGACTTCAGATCTACCTAACAATGACGTCAACGAGGACGGTGTGAAAACTGTGGTTGCCTATATAGAGGAAGATGGGTCACGATACAAAGTATGGCACCCCCAACAAGTTCTAGTAGTAGCATCATCGTTCTAACCTCTTAACGTTTTTCTTTTAGGTGGTCACTCAGTTCAAGGTGATCACAAAAAATGTTCCAAAAGTTGTAGCTGAACGGAAGAAGATGGCTAAGTTTGGACTTTGCCGCGACGAGCCCGCAGGCCCACAGGTATCGCTGGGTTTTATGCTATCATTGGAACGATGTTTTTCTCACCATCGTAAAGTATTTTGGAGGAACATACAGTAACATACCGTTTCTTAGCCAGTATTTCGTTCTTGTGAATCTTTAGGACTTTCCTAGGTTTCTACTACGTATGTAGCTGAAGAGGTAGAAATGCAGTTTACTAGAAATCGCGCCGGTGAACAAATTTTGGATGTGCAGGAAGATAAGCAAGCGGTCAGTTGTTCAATTTGCAAGCTTATCATGATAACAGTACAAGTTCACTATTACTGTTTGGTGTTTTTAAGTTTTAATGTGCTCTTGTCAAAAGAAATAATTACCTTCTTTGATTGCAGGCTAAAGTCACCAGCAGGGAACATTGTCGCCATTGCAAAGGAAATGATCACTGGAGCACAAACTGCCCATACAAGGTATTTTCCCTAAAGAAATATCATGTTACGAGTTAATGCTGTTATGGTTAGGTCATCGTTTTATGAGTTTTAGTAGTAGTACGAGTTTTTTTTTGTCATTAGGTTAATCAATTCCGTTTTGAGGAAATGTATCAAGTGGACGAGGAAGTCGATCCAGCGGAAGCGGCAGAAAAGGAACGCGCAGCAGCTGCTGGTGGCCGGTATATTGCTCCGGGAATGCGTGGAGACGCACGACAAGTAGATAGGCGGTAAGTTTAAATGCGTAATCATTTCGATTGCAACGTAAGGAAGGGCAGTCAAATCTTGCTCTTTGATGGAAACATTTCTCGAACATCTACGTTTTGCCTGCATCTCACGCTGTCAGATTGAATTCGTCTTTGGTCTATAATCTTTCCGCTCAGATAGATGTAGCTATAGCTAGCAACGACCGTACGACGACTTTCTTTACTGTGTATTCGACTGCATTCAATTCTTACTGTGATTCAATATCTTTTTGATACTACTGTGATCCATTGAAGGTCCGATGAGAACACATGCAGAGTAACAAACTTGCCTCAAGAAATGGAAGAAGCCGAACTTCGAGAGCTATTTGCTGCCATTGGAAGAGTGGTGGTAGGTGTTCTTCATAAAAAACCGTTCTATGAATACTTGCCTCAAAAACTATGCAAAAAAGCTTGCGTATCATCGTTTGATTTAGCGTGTGTTCATCGCCAGAGATAAGATTACAAACCAACCTAAAGGATTCGCCTTTGTCACGTATGAAATGCGTGAGGTACTGTTTCCTCATTGCTTTATAAGATTTTGGTTTCTTTTTTCAGTTTTTAAGTCTTGCTTTTCAAGGATGCCGAAAGAGCCATAGCTAAATTGAACGGAATTCGAAAGCATCATATGGTTCTCAAGGTTGAATGGACGAGGTTTGATTCTTATGCAATTTCGCCCACACTCGATTTTATTGTCTTCATGTTTTTAGGCCAAGCAACTGATGGACGATGATGTTTCATTGATGTGCTGTGAATCTGTGACAATAGATCAACACTAAGTTATTCTTATGAGAAAAATCATAGAACGAATTTTACCGCTCCTCAACATTTCTGGTTTTCGATGGGTTTATAGAAAATTGTGTGTGGTTTCTTTATATCCACAAAGTCCTTCAGTTTTCTATCTAGTGATGCGTTTTTACACTTGAACCTGGTTGATGTTGTTGTTATAAAGTGTTAGTATAATAGTTCCAAGTATTACAAGTCTGCGGTCGAAATCCGTAGCTACCATAATATCCTTCAGATTTATTTGTTTTTTGTTCTAAGTAGGTGTCTCGTTTCAAGACTTTTGGTTGGTTTTGTTTGCTTCTATTCGGTGCTTGTAAGTGCAGTGAAATATTGGTAGTTCAGATATTTGAAAGGTAATGTGATCCTGAGGCTTTCAATATGTTGGAGAAGTTTTGAATTGAAGTGATCAAGGAGTGATGTCGATAAAGAATAGAAATTGATATGTTTGTGTAGACCTTCAGCAGCGGAGTTGTATAGAATCTAGGGATTTGTCTTGAAGAAGCTGAAAGGTTTTACTCAAACATGTCTGCATTCTTCGATCGTTTGATGTGTTTACCTTATGACAATATCGTTTAGGGAGATATCATGGGTCTTCTGTCAATACTGCGGAAGCAAAGGGAAAGGGAGCGTGAAATCCGTGTGTTGATTCTAGGTCTTGATAATGCAGGCAAGACCACTATTACGAAGAAGTTTCTCGGCGAGGATCTGAGCTTGGTGGAGCCCACACTTGGTAAAATACTGTTTTGAACACGCTTACCTGTGTTTCAGTTGCTGAACATTGCTTTTCAAGGATTCAACATCAAGACTGTGGACTTTCAAGGGTTCACGATAAATTTTTGGGATGTTGGGGGACAGAAGAGTCTGCGATCATATTGGCGGAATTATTTTGAGCAAACGGATGCGCTTATCTGGGTTGTTGACTCCGGAGATCAAGGTTCGTCTCTTGGAAGTACCTTTTTCTAAATTTGTTACTCTGCNGTCTTGATAATGCAGGCAAGACCACTATTACGAAGAAGTTTCTCGGCGAGGATCTGAGCTTGGTGGAGCCCACACTCGGTAAAATACTGTTTTGAACATGCTTACCTGTGTTTCGGTAGCTGAAAATTGCTTTTCAAGGATTCAACATCAAGACTGTGGACTTTCAAGGGTTCACGATAAATTTTTGGGATGTTGGGGGACAGAAGAGTCTGCGGTCGTATTGGCGAAATTACTTTGAACAGACGGATGCGCTTATCTGGGTTGTCGATTCCGGAGATCAAGGTTCGTTCCTTGGAAGTCTCTTTTTCTAAATTTGCTGCCTTGCATGTAAATATATAAATTTAACGCTTTTATTTCTATGTTGCCATCTTCAGAGCGATTACTTGCATGTCGTGATGAGTTGAGATCGCTTTTGAGTGAAGAACGGCTCTCGGGTGCATCATTACTAGTTTTGGCTAACAAACAAGATCTACCCAGTGCAGCTCGTGTAACCGACATTGCCAAGGTACTAGTATTTTCTTGAACATTTCCTTCTTCGTAATTGATATTGCTTTGGTTTGGTTATAGTGGTTTTCTACATCCACTTACACATTTTTTAAAGCTATGTGCTTTGATTGTTGCGGATTTCTACCTATTTCTCATGTTAGAGATTTAAAAGCGAACCGTTCTTNATTTTGGAGGGGAAGTAGGTGTGGGAATGGAGTTGTTGAGTGGAGTCTTCATTATTGCTTAAGAATTTCGAATAGCTAAAACGATGAGGTAGGAAGCTTGATCCAGTGCTCTCTTCATTCATACATATCTTTGGCATATACAGTAGAGCATTTTGCAGAAGAAACCATGGAATAGGCGGCGTTATTTCCTCTACCCTCAAAATCGACCATAAGAAGAGCACCCCTAATTCCCGCTCAGCCTGATGTGAAATGGTCTACCTCACGCCAGTGGTTGTTTTTGACGGGGCTGGTTTTTCTTCGTGAGGGATGACGGATGTCTTGCGTTTTTGTTTTGGACGTCCATCGCACTGTCCCAAAATCTCGCTGGTTCTCTGTACATTTCCAGAGAGAAGGTTGGGTGACGAGAGCCGTGGTGTTCCAACGTGGTGTCTTTGTTCTTTATTTTCTTTCACTTCTTATCTAATGTCACATATTCACTGCTAATCACAAGATAGTGAAGTCGGGGGTCATTAATGATAAGCTTGATTTCACTACACTAGATTATTACTGCTGCTAACTCTTCAAAAACCCAAGCGCTATGCATTATATACCTTTTATTCAAATAATTTATTTGGAGAAGTAAGGATGAAAGTCTTTCGGAGTGTAAGAACGAGCAGCCGACGTAGTACGCTCTGTAGGTAGCCGTATTGCGGAAATCTTAGTTCATTAAGGCTTATGCAATGATGACTCATTAGTCTAAACGCAAATCCCAAGCGCAGACTCAATGGTACTTATGGAAGGAGACAACAGGCGACTTGATTGCTGCTTAGCTATGCTGTTTAACTGTCGGGCTGCTGGATTCCACTAAATGGAAGAATCGGGAATGGCCCACTTGTGCATAGGTTATTTCTGGGGCAGAAAGGACCTTTTCCAAGTGATCTGCGCCTGCATATTCGCAGGAGGCTCACAGATTTACAGTATGAATATTAGTAACTACTCTTGCTTGTGAACGATAGGCCCTCCCCAGGTTTACCCAGTTTACCCAGTTCCACTCGAGTTCTACTTTGGTCTATGTGCGTTCCAGTTGTTTTATAACCGACTCTAAATAAATATTTGTTGAAAAGGATTAGTTCCATCGATGTTCAGTCAATCAAAAGATTTCAGATGCTGGAATTGGAGGAAATCAAATCGCATCATTGGCGTATCTACAGCTGCAGTGCAATGACTGGCGAAAATCTGTTGGAGGCCGTCAGTTGGATGTGTGATGACGTTGCCAGCCGGATCTTCACTTTGGAATGAGCAATGTGTCGTGGTATGCTGTCGGGGGGTCTGCGTCAGCGGCTCCCGATCGACTGACGACCCTACTCGATCGTGGGGGTCCTCATCCGTGTGTGTGTGTGTGTGTGTGAGAGGCCTGTGCAAATCAATGTGTGGTCGCAAACGCGTCGTAGTGGTGTGCGACGCGGTCGTATCAGCTGACCGCCAGCCTGCTCGTTTCTGCTAGACAGCTGCAAAGTCTCGTGGTCGCAACCTGCTGATGTAGGCTGCAGTGTTTCTTGTCGTGGTTATTTTGATCTCATTTTATCACGGTTATCGCAGTGAACATGTACTTTGCAATACATTGAGTGACATTGTGTAAATGTACCAAGGGGCCTTGTTTAGGGCAGTTTACACCCTGTGGGTGCTGTCATGGTAAAGTCAGGCTGCGCTCAGCTAGTTTAGGCTTTTCTGTTGTTTTCACGATTTCCCAGGATACCTTCATGATTGTACCTTTACTGACAAACCCGGTTTCTTGGGTATAATGCTGATGAACTTGTGTTGCAGTGATCTGATAAATAGCTGGTATTAATGGAAGTACATATTTATTTAAACAGTTTTGTTAATAAAATTAAGCAGGAGAATTCGGCCAGAGCTCAGATATCAGCTTAGCAAAGGGCAATATCAACAGCCCAATTTCTTGTGACACCTTTTCTCGGAGTTCATGAGTTCTGATCATCCTGCAGGTGTAACCTATCGGCAGCTTGAAGTAACTGCCATACATCATAATACTTTTTTCCTCCCGAGTTCAAATGTAGCGATGATTGATATGTATCCTAGCCGTAATTATGAAAATTTCCAATTTAAAGACAAGTGAGGCTCTCAACAGTCGGTTCACCTTGGTCGGGAACACCAAAATGTTCTCCGATCGCCGCCGAAACTGCCATAGATGTCTCCTTGAATAGATTGGTGTATAATAATTGACCTTGGGTTTGGCTGTGAGAAGGCCATACACAGAGAGAAGGAGGTTGAACAGGTCATGTTTGTTCCCGCAGTCTTTTTGGATGGCTTGGAAAGAAGTGAAAGCCAGTGAGCCATCGGGTCTAGTCTGTTCCTCATCGAATCGCTAAAATCATATCTTCATGTCGCTCAAGACAAGTTTTTCTACCCATCACCCTCAAAATCTCACCGCACCAGTTCAATATCAATTAAAGCGTATTAAAGCGTTACGAAGGCCTTGGGACCAGATTATGTCGTCGCTCTGTGTCGCTATGAGAGAAATAACGTCACTTTGTACCCTCCTGAGGGCTTAGCCGAACTTTTTTCGATCACCACATGCAAATGGCAATGTGGTATATTTAGAGGGTATACAAAGGTCATGGGGAAGCTTTGTTATGAGATAACATGAGGGCATATAAAGAGTAGTATTACCAGATTAATACGGCAGTGCGCTCTCCGATTTCCTCGCTCGGCTCTGGGAGGAGTCGGTCATATCTGGACTCAATTCTATAGAAGGCCGATAAGGATCATATTTGTGGAACCTTTTACTGCCTATTCCTCTTCCCCACCCGTTTTGACCATTCTCTCTTGGCTTCCAATGTGATAAACTCATACTGAACACCTTCAGGGGACGCCTAATTACTATACTTGTATTTTCCTTTACCGTTATGGTTATTATCGAGAGTTACTGAGTCGGGGGTTCCCCAAATGGTTACTGCGGGTTACTGTAGGCGGGAGAACGACCATTTGATTAGTGTAATTGGGATCTAATGGTAATTTGAGGAAAAGAGCTGGACGTGTAGGATTTTCTCAACTTCCAGTTGATTCCCTCCTTATCCTCCTCGGCTTACCGTATCCCGCTGCCAGCAAAGCTTTTTCTTCTGGAACATCTGTATGTGATTCGATTTCTCTGAATTGTTCTTGTACACAACGTTTGCCAGCCATCTTCCTTGGCTGCCAGACCACGAATGTGATGATTTCAGAGATGAGTAGTCATGTCGAATTTGCGTTCCATTATCGAATTACTGAATTTATGCGTCTGATTGTCGACGATGTTGATTTCATGGAAACCGATGGTCTAATGGAAGTCGCTGAATGGATGATGAAGAAGATCAGGTTCGAAGAAGAATTTCCAGTTGATGTTTATTTCATGTGGTTGACGAAAACTCTCAGCAGTTTAATTTTTCTCAGAGGACGCGTCTGTCCGTTCGCTGCTCGTTTTTCAATCGATGAAGAGGACGAGGTCGAAGTCGACAATATTACAGTTGCCTTTCTATTTGTGAGTCCGATGCTCGACTAATATTTACCCATTGCGGGTTACTTTGACCATTGTTGGGGGCCGATTGTCAGATGGGAGATCTGGCGTTCCAAAGATACGGTTCGAGATTACAGTAAGGGTCTGAGAGGATGGAAACTTCCCAGGTCGGAGGGGAACGTTCGGAGGAATTCGTAGCCACAGCTAATTATCAGAATGAAGTCGAAAGTTCATGCTTTTTATACCCAGGGTGCACGTGCAACCCATGTGTTCCCCTCCCGTCCCTCGCCCTGATCGCGAGAGGCGTTCCTCGGCGTACCGTCAGGAAACTCACGTGCACCTCATTGACCCTGGGAGCCGGAACAGCTGATAGCGCTCAGTTTTCTTATCTGACTGACATTGGCGACGGTAATAGAATAGATCATTGGTCGTAACGAAAAAACAAAAAGAAAATATTTCTCGCAGCTGACTCCCCTACCAATACATTAGCCATTTGTCTTGAGGGAGCAAAGGTCACTTTTTCCTCTTTGTTTTTGCTTACATACAGATCTAGATATATCGTTTGGGTGGGAAAAATTAGCTGAACGGAACTGAAGTATCGACAGTAATCAGTGATAAATTACCGAAAATGTGATAAAGTCGAATTTCATACGAAATCAGAAGAGGTTGGAGAACGTTCTTTGAAGTTGTCCACAATTTGGGAACTTTTCCCGGTACCTGGCTTATCCTGCCTGTCTACAACGTTTAGTTTCAGTGCAGAATAATCCCTGTAAAGTAAAAACGCTTTNGTAATGAGTGCGTATGTGGCCTATACAATGACTTGCGGTGGCCAGCCGATGTACAAGTCAGTGCTTTTATCCTCCCAGACGAGCCTGGTGCCAATTAACCGACCCCGGAAGAATGGAAGGCTTGGTTTGCTTAGGCGATATCGATCCGGGATTTGAACCCTTGACAGTGCGTGTGAATAGTGCGCCACTTGCCACTACAGCGTACAATAATCCTATTAATTGTGCTCCAAATAATTAAGATTATTGATAATTTCAATTTAAGGACCTCTTGCTGACTTGCCAAAAACGGCAGGTAGAGCGTGTCGACTTTGAAGTCGAAAGTGAACCTCGTACGGTGTGCTGGAAATGCCATACGTTCGTTGCTGAGAAGGTAAGGTGGTAGGGGTCATCTGAGCAAAGTTATGAATTCTTTTGGCATTTCTTTGTTTTAAAAACGTAACTCTTTCTATTTGTAGATCGCCAAAGATTCTTCAAAGGATATCCCCTTATTCGAGCCAGCTGACGTTGAATTTGATGCCGGTTTCATCGACTTCCTCAAGAAGTTGGAAGAGCGTCAAGAGATGATCAAGGTAGAAGATGCGCTTGCTTTCTTCGGCAGAGTAAACCTTTAATATCACTGTTAAAAGGCCCTGGAATATCTGAATCGAAACAATGTTGAAGGGTATTCCAGGAATCCGCGCTACGCCTTCTTTCTCCACCTCGTCCGTCTGTGCTACCTGAGCAGAACCGTCTGGAAAAGTCTGTCCAGACCACTGGCAATTGCACATCACTTCCAGCTGATGCGTTCGTCCCTGAGGTAAGCTCCAAAACCAGGAATCTTCTTCATGAGAAGAGACTATCTATTTCCTAGACAAACATTAGATTCGCTGAAGTCTCCATTTTCCAGCTTCCGTCACCGGATTTGGCCGAATTCCATGATGCACAGGTGGACATCGGAAGCAGCGTCGACAACTTTGTTGATGCACTCTTTGATTTCGAGCCGAAAGCTAAGAACAATAGTGCAGTTTTCAAGCGGTAGGGGCTTTGAAAAAGTTGGCTTATTCGGACTCATTTAACCTGTTTGAAGCACTACTTTGAAGATTGGCGGGGGGGGGGGNGGGGGGGGGGGGGGGGGGGGGGGGGACAAGTTCTGGAGGCAAAACTGAACTGTGTGGCAAATAGTGTCGAAAACCTTTCAAAAGGACAATAACTTGTTCTCCGGCATTTTAATTTTAAAACATAACAAAGTCGACATTCTGCCTTCTGTTTTCACACTCCGTCCTTGCCCTTTCTGCCCTTTTCGGGGCGGAAGACGATGGTTTTTAGCACAGAAATATCAGAGTGCATTTACGTAAGTCATCCCTCATGTGTAAGAGAAGAGTTTGGAAGGATTCCACATGCTGGCGGCGAATCTGGGAGAAACCAGGGCTTTAATGTGACCAAGTCCTCCCGCGTTTTCTCTTCGGTCGATCAGGAAGGTGACCCACCATGCAGTGGTGCTACCTAGTCTTCGCGGATTCGAGGAAACTGTTGGACCGCCGACGATCAGTGCTATGGAGACCTCTCTTTTCTTGTCACACCTTCGATATTTTATTGGCCTTATTCAAACTGTTTATTTTTAGCTACCCTGCATCACGTTTCTTCCCATCGAGAAATATCAATTGGGGAAACCAAGCAGAACTCGTTGGTTGTTGGGGGAACTCATCGAGAAAGGTAGGTAATCCGTCTAAAACCTGCTCTTTCTTCACCAGTGGTCAGTTCCTTTTTGAAGATCGCTCTACCATGGTCGTGTCGGTCTTTGCAACAATTCGGTTCGGTTCGGGAAATGAATTCACCATCCACGATCGAGGATCTTATAGCTCTTCATGATAGCGCTGCAATTTGTCATAGGGTTCAAAAAGTAGGATTATTACTTTATTATCTAATCATCTCCTTTCCATTGGCTACCCTACAATATCATCTGTTTTTTCAGAAATGGGATAGGCTCCAAAGTGAAGCTGGTTTGTCGATGACAGCCGCATTGAGTACTGGTATAGGAGGAGTTGAGGAGTGTTCACAAGAACAGCCTCAACCTGAAAAAAAGAGTAAACGACGAGAAAACGAAGAGGTAAGTGGTTGCCCCTTTCTTTTTACTTAAAAACAAATTTTCAAAGGCATAACTTCATCGTTTACAGTGGGTTGCCGCTCTGTTGAAAATGCTCGAACAAAAGCCGACGAAAAGCCGAAAACTTCTTCGAGGGCTCATCAACTATTCCAAAGAACATAAGTCTTCAAAGTCGTCAAAGTCACGTAGTGCTGGGCTGCACCCTGCCTCACCCTCGAAGCACTCAGACACTGAAACAAAGGAGTCCGCTGCAGAAAATGGCCCAGCGCCATCGGTGGACAATGCCAATCCGGCTGTGGATGTCTACGAATACATGAGGATGAAACTGAAGGAGCATGAGAAATCAAAGGTAAGAGATTACCTTGAATGAACGATTTGGGGATCCATAATTGGATCTTGATCGGACATTTTGCAACAGCTAAATTTAGAAGGACTCCGGGAAAGAGGTCAAGGTGGAATCAAAGCCAAAGAAGGTGAAAAAAGAGAAAAATCAGAACGACATTCGTGTGTACCTAGTGGGGCGGAAGGTGAGTTCTGCTCTTGTGCTCCATGGTTTTTTCCCCTGAGACAGCTGCTATGCAACATCTGGAACATTTCATCATTCGTCCAATAATATTTAGCGGTTCGAGTCCCAGCTTGCTCTCTAAGACGGCTTTCTAAGTTCAACAACAGCTTTCACCATCGTATTTGCCAAATGTCTAGCATTCAGCTAGCTATCACCACATCAATTGACGAGGCTGTCCTATTCTTCCGGTTACTGGCTCGATGCCTTCAGCTTAATTTCTCAGATCCTTCTTCAAAACGGTTTATATTCATCCTCAATTCCCCGATCTTTTTCAAATTTTCACTTCTCATCTGTCAAATCGTTCCAGTGTCCGATAGTTCGTTGATGGCTTTGAGAGCTCACTCTGATATTTTTTCCCAGAGACAACAGTTTCCTGTTTTCATTTTAGTCAAGGTCTG